CAACACACACACCACACACAACACACACACACCACACACACACACATGTGTCCCTTCACCCGTCGTCTTCCCGTCAATGTGTCCCAACATCTACACGACTTGAGAGGCCATAGAACCACACACACACACACACACACACACACACACACACACACACACACACTGTGCTAATCATACAATTCATTTTTAGAGCGCTTGGGAATCCAGCTGCCTTGATAATGAATGGGACCTATTTGTCCGGAGTCTGTATGATTATGGGAAAACACCAAACCTTTTCTTGTGTTGGGCCATGCGTTTCCTTAGTTTTCATTGTCTCACATTTTTCAGGACTATAGATTAATGACATCCAACATCTGCTGTCATAGCAACCCTTGTTTCTTCTGTTGTCTCGTTCTGTTCAACATGTGTCAATGTGACAGCCCCTTCATTTATTTAATTGATACACATGCAGTAGATCACTTATAACAGTGTGTCATTGTTTTTATGGACACATGTATAGCATTAACACTAATTGTCAATTAAGGGCAATCCACCTCTCCAAGATAGGGCTCAGGATTGTTATTGAGTTACAAAAGATGTTAAGTGTTGTTTAGTATCTGCTTGATTGTGGTTGGTCCAGCCTGTGCTCTCTAACACCAGACACCAGGGTGTATACACACACTTTATCACACAACACTGCCACTCCTGCTTGGCCATATCTTCCTACTGCTATTTTTAACATGCACTGCTCTTTCCTTTTTCCTTCCTGTCATCTTTTCCTATCTTGATTCCTTCTCTTACACACTTTCTGTCCTTTACCTCTACTGCCCCCTCTCATTCGTTCTCTCTATGTACCTTACCCATTGTCCTCACCCCTCTCTTCCTTCCCTCCCCATTGCCCTTCCTCCACCACCTTCTCCCTGTTAACCGCTCTCTTCTCTCCTTCTGTTTCTCTCCCATGTCTCTCGTCTCTCAGATGCAGGATGCTATGGGCTATGAGCTGCCATGGGTCTATTTTGTCTCTCTCGTCATCTTCGGCTCCTTTTTCGTTCTCAATCTTGTTCTGGGGGTGTTGAGCGGGTAAGAGGTTGTGCTGTGCTCATGTCTGTACAAATGTCTGTATGTGAGTTGTTTGTGATGAGGGTGTACGGTGCAAAGTGTTTAATATGTGATTATTGACCATGCAACAAGACTCCCTGGAACAGACATTTGAAGTGCAATTTGTGATTGAATTGGAGGATCCATTGAACCACTAAATAGTGGAATAGAATGGAAATATTTCATGGTTATCCACTATAAAAGCACACCACTTATTGGGCATTATTATGGTTATTATGATTATTTGTGTTATTAGTTGAAGTTGACAGTATAGTTTATTTAAGGTTAAACATGATTTTCTTCTAAATATAATGTCACATAAACTCTACTCTCTTAACATTTGGATTATATATAATATCCTTCTTTGGAGACCATAGTAGTAATAAGCTGGGTAGTTCAACTGCTGTATGAATCCAAAATCCAATGCTGTAAACTGAACATGCTACAGCCTTTAATACTGTAATCCCTGTCATCACCATTTCAATGGGAGACTACTACACACTGAAGGGATTTATACAAGAGTTGCAACACTTGGCTAAAGAGTCAAGGTGGGCTATATAGGTGAACATTCCATCCCAAATATTTAGGTACAGCTTAATATCCAAGTAGTCTTATTAGCATTGATTTGTAGATTATTTGGTACATTCAATTGAAGCCATCAAATGCAAATTAGAGGAGGGAGATTCAGGCAGTCTCACATCAGCAGTCTTCCAGTACAAGTAGAGCTAGATCTCTTCTTGTAAAGATCTTAATCCTCTACAGTCCAGGAAAGATGAACTGACTGAACTGAGCACAATCTCCAGCTCTCTCCAGCTTCACTCAGTCCTTTGTCAGAAGCCTTACAGAGAGACACATTCACACACAAGCACTTGCTGGACTCTTCTTCTGAGCAGTTTTTTTTTCCAAGGCTCAGTTTTAAGATACCCCTTTTCCTCCTTAATGAGATGACTGCATAAACAGATCCGCCATGTTTGTTTACATGTGTTGGTTATCGTCACACATGTTTGTCTCATGTGCTTATCAGCATCTGCTTACATTGTTTGTGTATGTGCAGCGTGTGTGTATTTGTATGGAGGCGTGTGTATGTTTTGTTTCACTAAATGCTGCTCCAGTGGCTGGGTGCAGTTTTACCCCGCTCTGCCAAGTCACACTGTTTTAGTACAAGCACCACCCGGCCTGTAGGGACACACTGGGGTATTAATAATTCACCCCTCAGGTCAGCTATAGAGATGGAACTTAAAAAAGCTTGCACAACAGGGAAATCACAACAGGCAAAAAAGGTTTTTCTGAGGACAGAGTGAAGTCTGAAAGGAAACATGGCATTAAAAATGGAAATTATAGGATGGAAGCCTGCACTAAATAGGGACTATGGTTCTTAGGTACATTTGAGTTAAAGTCAGCAGGATAACCGCCATAACAATATCAATTAAATAATAGCAATAATAATCATTTTAAATTTTTACACCTCAAATTTGATTTAAAAATGAAAGCTTTTTTTAATTAAATCTAAGACTCTTTTTTTTGTGGCTTTTTATAATAAAATTCATTCTTTTTTTTGCATCAAGAGAGAATAAGCTGTCATCATGACAGTCATAATGTCTAATCCATGGGAGTCTTGCTGCACTGTCTTCAAGTGTCTAAAATGCCTTCTCTTCACAGGGTTTTAAATGAACTCTTTTCGGGGGATGTAAGCTTGTAACCTTCCCTTACATGCCCTCACCTGATGGTGTTTAAAATTGAATACAGCCGGTCAGATACGCTTCTAATGTGGCCCATTAAGTGACTCTGACAAATACTATAAATGCATTATCCCAGCAGGGATCCTGCAGAAGGATACAGTTCCATCTGTTGGGAAATTTCACTGAGGATCTAACCCCTTCCCTCTGCCCCTCCTCCCTTCCCTCCTAACCTCCCTTACTGCTCTCTACTCGGCTTCTTTTCCTCCCTCCATCTTTACCTGTCTCCTCACACCCTTCTCCCTTGCATTCCTCCTTTGTCTCCCCTCCTGTGTCCCACGCCTCCGTCTCTCCACCAGGTGAATGATGCAGTAGGTTACAGTTGGCCCTGGGTGTATTTTGTCACCTTAATCATCATCGGATCCTTCTTTGTGCTAAACTTGGTTCTGGGGGTATTGAGCGGGTAAGGGCAAGGTCAAAGGTCACTTGAGACTAACTTCTTTCCCTCTCCTTCACACTGTCGTTCTTAGAGAGCTTTGCTGTCTGTTTTTCCTGCTTCTGAAAGGAAATGGTGTTGTGGTTTTTTAAACTGGTAAAGGTATGTATTTTCAAGAAACAAAATACATACCAGCACACAAAAGGGACATTTAAAATGAATTAATTTCCTCTACGATTATGTCCAATATGTTTTAAGAACTACATGAATGTGGATTTCGCAGTACCACAATTATTTTTCCAACCAGCCCAATATTGTGAATGCAATATCTCTGTCTTAGTCTTAAGTATCAACTGATTAGTATTCAAAATGAAATGTCACTGTGATCTTGTAAACATGTTTTGGACATACCTTAGAAATGGACTTGCTTCTTGTAATTTCACGATTTCAGGAGTATCTAACAAAATAAAATGATGAATTAATGGCAATCTGGACATACATGGATTCAAACCGCGACAAGTGGGTGAAGTCATTCATGCCATAAGCAGGTATTTTCTAATATGATTTACAGAAGAAACAGAGCTTAGTGTGGATTGTTGTTTTTCATGTTTCTTCACATGCCGTAGGTTAAGATGAACTTAAGAAGTGAAGTGTCTCACCCCTGACTGACTGACCTGTATCTGACTCTCGATACCCACAGTGATGTGGCAGCAACATTGTGAGAAAAATAATAGAGGTCTATCTGGTCCAAACAGCTTGGGGGGTTTGGCTGTCTGACTCTTTGTCTGACTTCTGACTAATGATGCTGTCATCACACTACACAGCCTGACCTTTTAACAACTGCTTTCTCCATGCAGTGTGTGTGGGTCTCAGATTGGCATAATAACTAATGGCCAAACAGGAAGAAGGAGAGCGACGGGCACAGAGACAGAAACATGGGGTGTGACGGTGTTTGCCTGTATTTGATGTAATGTGTAAATAGAAAGAAAGAAGCATGAGGCTGTCTGAGAGAGAATGAGGGGACACATGAAGAAAATCCAATGACTATTTACGGGGAAAAAGAGGGATGTTGAGAATAGTAAATTGAGAGTGATCACTGAGAGTTCTGCTCTCACAAACACACACATAGTATACTACACACTGACACACACAACCACAGATCAATAAGATTGGGTCTAATGTTATGACAAGCACAACTGTAGCAGTTTGTCCTAATGCTCATTGATCTGCCTTTTGTGTATGTGACTGTGTTGTCTGTAGTTGTGATTTATTCTATCATTTTACCACACAGAAAACACACTGACAGGCTCACACACAATCTCTGATTCTATTCCAAATAATAGACTGACTGTAGAAATCTATGAAAATAGACACATACCATTATGGATACTGTGATGCTCTCCAGGGAACGTGTTTGGATGCTGTAAGTGTGAAACTTCCATAGCTGCAAAGCCCCACTTAAATAAACATTATGGAGTGTGTATTTGCACCCGGGAGAAAATAGCTACACGACAGGTATTCAGCTATTTACACATAACTGTATTAGGTTAGTTGAAATCATTAATATGAAGTTGAACCTAATATTTATCATTTAAACTTTATAGTATTGCTACCAACTTACCTTATACAATTATGTGTAGTTTGTTGACCTAATACATTTAATTAAAGTCAACGTTACAGTTTTTTCAGTGTAGTCACCCGGGTGCAAATTGGTATCTGCCATTATTGTAATGTATTATCTAACATTATTAAAACACATGCTGTATGGCATACGCAGCTTACTTTTCCGTGATTTCCAAACCCAAGATGATGGTGTGAGATAACTGACCATCAGGGAACTCCACTGACTGCATCTTATTTAAAATAAGAAGCAGGGAGGCTCTTGCAATGTCAATGGACCTTGGAGTGTGTATCCGTACACATTTTAGCTGAAAACGTTCTCAAGCCTCTCAGCTCCTGTCAGCTCTCCTCCCGATGAATTATTTGGCTCCAAGCTGACGTTGACCTTCCCCTAATGCGCCGATTAATCAAATGTTCTTTAATTCTTTCTTTCTTCCTCCTGACACCTGGAAGTAATTTCACCAGGTTTCATCATATAATTAAAATATTTCACACTCTCCTAACATCAATTTTAGTTGTTTTAAATCAACTTTGCTTATGTCTTCTGTGTCCACATCACATCCAAAATCCTGACAAACCCTAAAAAGCTGGCATCATTCTATATCAATAAGAATGTAGTTTATGTTAAGTCTACTTTTACACACTTCCATCATTTTATTTTCTACATAAAGAATTGCAAATGCTGCATAAAAAGGTAGCTAAAGCATTAAAGAAATATTTCAGTTAACCTATCTATCGTCATTCCAAACTAAAAAACCTCTGGGTCGTGACGAAAACAAAGAGATGCCAGAGGTGAGGGGCTCGGTCGAGCGGGACGCCCTCGCTGCAGACCCAATTCTCTTCCAATTTGACGGGAGCAGGCTGAGGCACTGCAGCCGGGGGGGAGACCCTTGGATGCTCTGCACAAACTCGCAGCAGGCTCGGGAGCACCTGGGGCCCTGGGACAGCAACACTTATAAGACTAATCAGCAAAGATTGTTATGACTAAATTCAATCTTTATATATATTTTTTTAGATAAAAGAAATCTTTATGAACTTATAACAATGGGATAAAGCAATGCACTTATATGACACTAGCCTAAATGTGTGAGGGATCCTCTATTAATAGACAACAACTATTGTCTATTCATCAGCAATGTTTGGCTGCAGGTGATACTTTCAGAATAAAAGCATCCTGACTCTGCTTAAAGTAACTGACACTTACTGTAAGGGAAATGTGTTAAGTGTTTTTTTCAAAACCCTCTCCTCCTCTAAGTTAATAAAACTAGCACTCATCCACACTTGGTCAGTCATTCGGGGTGTCTCAATTCACATTCTCACAGTGCACCAGGCTTAATTATTAGAATACGGCTTCATCAACTCCGACACTTTGTAAATCAGTGGAAACAAGTTTACACAAATAGATAGATTGTCAATGATAGGGTATAAACAGTGTATTACTGATGTGATCAAATCAAACTGCAGCTTATTTGACGTTGTGTGTTTATGCAGGCGTTACCATGTCTACCAACTTTTAAACAGAACTGATTGGAACTGTATATCTCTTGGCTGCTTAACAATATATCTGTATGAATTGGATTGTCTGAGCTGTGAATCCAGCTCTCTGTATGTCTGGGCGTGCTTCATCTGTATTAGCATACTAACACTGTATCTCCTTGGCAGAGCTTGTTTCTCTTCACATGTTTCACTCTATTTAGCAGGTTTTCCCTCCTTCCTGTCCTGACACACTGAATAATGTTCTGTATTATCACAGCATTGTCACATGGTTTGCACTTCAGTTTAGATTTTCAGATTCTTTTTTCTCTCCCTCTGTCACTGTTTCCTTTCTATCCCTCTTTCTATCCCCCAAACCCCTCCATCCTGTTTCCCTCCTCCCAGAGAGTTTTCCAAGGAGAGAGAGAAGGCCAAAGCACGTGGTGACTTCCAGAAACTCAGAGAAAAACAGCAGCTAGAGGAGGACCTCAAGGTAGGCGGTTCTTTCTCTGCATGTTTAATAGAGGCTGCAAGAGTCTTTGTCTGCAACTCAAATTCAATGTTAATTACTGCCAGGTAACCATAGAAATCAAAGCAAACTTTATTTAAATACATTTAAATAGGTAACACATTATTTACAGATCGATGGAGGAGGATAAAAGAGTAAATCAAAGAGACAGCCATGTGTATACATTAAGATTAATTTAAAAATAATAACATGAATGAACATTAAGAATAAAAAAAGATGCTGTTGTTGTCACTAATATATGTCCTTAAATCATCTCAGTTTTTAGTATAAGAATAGGGAACATTGAGAAACATAATGAATACCATAACATTTGATAGAAACAATTTTTGTTTTGTTGATAAGCACTGCTAAGCAGCCAGTGTTTTCTTTGCTTGTGTGTTCATATGTGTGGTGAATATAGGGCTATTTAGACTGGATCACTCAGGCTGAAGACATTGACCCAGAGAATGAAGAGGAGGGCATGGACGATGACAAACCTAGAAACCGTGAGTACTACAGTGTGTGTCTGTGTGTTTAACGGTAAAATATGCCAAGGGCGAGAGTCGATCTATTTACTTCCTGCAGTTCGCCTCGGGATGTGTGTGTGTGTGATTTATGAATTGTTGTGTGGTAGTGTTGGCAGTTAAGATTTATGTTTCTATTGTGTTTATATCTGAGGATATAAGAAGGTGTGAGGTTAACTGCGCACGTGTTTGTGTCAGATTTAGGGTTAGTCTGTAGGTCTTGAGCTCACTGCAGTCTCATCGTCATTGAATGACGATGAGACTGCAGTGAGTGACTGATGGAGTGGCTGACAGACAATCTGCTGCTTTGGCTAAGAACCCCCCCGAGGCTCAAAACCTGTTTAGATATTAGTGGAATGTGTCAGACTGCAGCTAATAGCCTCTGGACACACACACACACACACACACACACACACACACACACACACACACACACACACACACACACACACACACACACACACACACACACACACACACACACACACACACACACACACACACACACACACACACACACACACACACACATACAGGCACACACACAAGCACACACACTGTAGGTATAGACTCTTTTGTGACAGAAATGTTCACATGGTACAAGTCTCCCCAGGAGGAGTGAGCTTTGTTTCCTGGGGAGGGAGAGTCCAGCAGTGGCCTCTTTTGACCTGGAGGTTTGATCTCAGAGAAGATAGATCGAAAAAGAGAGAGGGATAATGCGAAAGAGAGGCAGCGGTTTGACACAAGGCCTGTACTATTTCTGAGCAAGCATTGTTCAGTATGTGCTGTGAACTCTGTTATAACTGCTTGGAGCTCCGTTTCCTCACATCGATGATGAATCAATGAGTGATGAGGACTAAATATGCAGAGGTGGCTGCGGCTCATTCTGAGAAACACTGATGATGGGCAAGGGAAGAAGATAATAATAAAAAAATGATGATCTAATCTTTCAGTTAGGCTCAAGACATTACTATGGTTGAATGAGCAATGACCCAATTTACATGAAAATAAGGCACAGCACTCCTGTGGCTAATCCGTAACAAATCTTCTTGTTTTCACCTGTTAGCGCCGTGCTCCTCTGGGCCAATCAGTGTGGCAGAACACATCAGCAGTGTGTGGCGCATTAACAAACAAACAAATACAGTATGTGGCCCCAATTGGGCCCACTATTTTTAAATGTCACATCACACAGTTAGTGCCTCTTGGATTCATATTGTTTTTGTTCTAGATCACTGACATAATGTGCTATGTCAAGACAAGCCCAAGTTAGTTGTAGTCTGTAGTTAATTGGTCTCGTGCGAGATTAAATCCATTACAATTATTAAACAGAATACATTTTTTAGATGACAGCATGATTGATACATGTGATCAGAAGTTATCCACCTCAAAGATCAATCATCCCTCTGTTTGTGAAGCTAAAAAATAAGAAAGCACTTGTTCTCATGGCTATGTCTCGCCACCTCCTCGATGGGATGGACCATCCTTTGGAAAGATGAATGAAGGCAGTGTGTGTCTGTTGCCCAGGGAGCACACCCACACACACACACACACACACACACACACACACACACACACACACACACACACACACACACACACACACACACACACACACACAGATATGGAGAATGGAAGAGAGGATTGCAAAGAGAGAGAGATGAGAGGGAGAATAGATGTTGAGATAAAAAGGGGATATAAATATTGTGTGTGTGTGTGTGTGTGTGTGTGTGTGTGTGTGTGTGTGTGTGTGTGTGTGTGTGTGTGTGTGTGTGTGTGAGTGTGAGTGACAGTACCTGGGACAAGAACAAGTCATAGCACTTGACCACACACTCGTACAGAGACCACACACATCTTTCTACCTGTCTATCAATCATCCCATCTTCACATGATAGGCTACAGAGGCAACATATTGATTCATGATTATGAATAGTGTGCTCACATGAAGACACATCACTGTGTGTGTGTGTGTGTGTGTGTGTGTGTGTGTGTGTGTGTGTGTGTGTGTGTGTGTGTGTGTGTGTGTGTGTGTGTGTGTGTGTGTGTGTGTGTGTGTGTGTGTGTGTGTGTGTGTGTGTTTCAGGTAAAAGAGTAGTCAATGTATTTCACTATATTGATTTTCACAGGTTTCAGTAACAGCATGAGTGAGTTTGCAGGGGTCAAAAGTTTCTAAAACATTTCAGCTATCCTTTCTGAGTCTGCAATCCTGTCTGAAACACATACACACTCAACTGTGATGATATGTGATGTGATATGAATGTTGTGTTAGTGCTTTATTTATTTATGTGTATATATATCATATGATGTGTTTTCGCTGCAGTATGCACATTTGCGTGTTTTGCCTGTAGTCTCATGCATACTGCATGTGCATGTCTGTGTGTGTGTTGCATGTGCTCACCCTCTGCCATCTTGTCCTTGCATGCCACCCTCTTGTCTTGGCTTCCTGCTGCTGTTGTCTGGCAGGAGTGTCGCCCGCCCACCTGGGGGAGAACAGCAGTAAGCTGGCCTGGCTCAGCCCCTCTGCTGACCCTCAGGATCAGGATGGTATGTGTGCATCCCTGTGCCGGGACACATGTTTCCATGAGTATTCAGTCGTGACCATGGTTGTGTTTGTCTTTCATAGTACGACTGCTTAGGAGAAAGGGCGGTGGTCCACATACCTCCTTAGGAGCATACTGAGGAGTAAAATACTTCAGGTATCTTGTTTATCTGTTAGTTTAGTTTAGTTTATTTGTTTATAGTGTCGTGGACAGTCCCCATTGATCCACTGTCACAAAAAACTGTAAGTGGGGCAGCTTTAGCCAACATGGCTAATTTCCCAGTTATAAAACTAAATTTCAATTATGCCCACTCCATTCATTGGTGATAATCATGGAGAGTATGTAAGATGGAAGTGTAGCTTTATTTTGCTAATCTAAAAATGTTTTCAATAGATTTCATATGTTGCCTCTTAAAAAAGTGTCAGCATACTTCAAACCATTCTGTCATGGTCTCCACTAATGCAGGTAGTATGAGAAAAATAGAGCCAATTTTGAACATTAAAGCATGTAAACATGTCACAGTAGAGGCACTAAATACTGATATGGACCTGAAATTAAGAATAATACGGCCCCTTTAAAGTCTTTGGCCTTTATAAAGGTACATTAGTAAATTACAAGATACATTCTTGATTGTGTTTTAATGGCACAAGTAGATTGGCTGTGTTTGCTATTTGACATTGTCGTAATAGATCATAAAAAGCTTTTTTATTTTAGAATGTCATTTCTGTTTGCACGTGTAGCTTAGCATGTCTTTGTCTTTAAATGTCCTGTTTTTTCACTTGAAATATGAAACCTACTTGTGAGGATTGATTTGTATGTGTGCGCTCCTTGGATGTAATTGTTTGTGTACCGGATGTTTACTATATTTTATGCTTCATATCTCTGAATGCAGTTTTATTTATTCTACAGATAGATAGATAAATAGAAGGATACTTTATTGATCCTACATTGGGAACTTCTTGTGTTACATGAGCAGCACAGTACACCTTGACTCACTCAAAGGATATTGCTTTTACAGTATGCTTGGACAATCATATGTAAATCACTTGAAAAGAATGAGCCGAATCCAACAATTGAAATATCTCGGTACAGAGGAGCGAGCTGAGGAATTTTCTGGTTCACAATGATGCAAATACTATGAGAGGAAGGGCTTAAGTGGACAGCAAACAATGACGTTTGTGAAGGCCAAGAGGAAGGAGATTATGATGGAGAAATATATTGTACGTAGTGCTGCTCATTGAAAAGAGCACTGCAACCTGCTTTTGAATGTTGACACTCGAAAAACACGAGTACTTCCACTTTCCCTCTCTCTTTCTCCATGGTCATTTCTCCTTACCATAGAGAATCTGGCAATGAAACTAAATGGTACAAAACAGAAAAAGGTAGTCATATATTTTGTCCAAAATGATATTAATAGAGTGATGTAATGAGGTGTTTTCTTTGCAGAAGCGTTCATGGTTCCTTCTAACAGGTCGTTCATGTCATCAGAGGCGCTATGAGTAAATGTGATTATGTGTTTTTGAATATGAAGTTTGTGTGCATTTCTGTATTTGTGCTGATTGTAAGTGCTATTTGTGTGTGTATCCGTGTGTATGTGTGTGTGTGTGTGTGTGTGTGTGTGTGTGTGTGTGTGTGTGTGTGTGTGTGTGTGTTTGTGTTGTTGAGCCGTGCTCTCTATCCCCAGGTAAAAGCCGCTTTCATTCTCTGCGTGGAGCCGTGAAGAGAAATGCGGCTTTCATTCGTAAGGCGTGTGCGTCTGTCTGCATGGTTCAACACTAGTTAAACATTGACTGGAAACCTTATTTTAGACATGCAAGCGAACCGCACCTCTCCTCATCCTCTCCTCTTCTCCTGCATTGTACTAGGAACCAGTTTTTATTTTTTTCAGTGGCTGCCTCTTTAACTGTAAATAAGTTTATTCTCATTGTCTTTGTTACCCCTTTTGTTCACCTCAAACAATTACCCTATATCGAAGCCATATATAAAAATACCGTATCGCAGTGGAGACTTGGTCTTTTGCCAATCATTTTCCATCCTGCTGCCAACATTGTATGTCTTCATTGCATTAAAACCTTGACCGTGTTTCATGGCCCTTAACTTCAAATCACCTATAATCGAAAAAGACAAGAACTATCAGTACAGGGGGAAAAGGACATGAGGAGAAAACTTAATTTCTGTATTGAGATGCAGCCACCGTTTTCCTTTCTAGGTTTGTAGGAGAGAAACTGTTCGCATCTGCCTGAAAAAAAAATAATCAGGAGGACAATGTCATCACATGAAACAAGTGCGGTTTACACACCGTACATGACGAAAAACACATTTGTGATGCCACAGTCCTCTTCTTGTTGTTTTAAATTCCTTTCCCTAAAATCCCCCTGCCCTGTCGTTAGCCATGCTAGCTCTGATTGTCAAGGACAATACAGAAATAGCTACCAAATTTGAATTTTAGCCTTTTTATAATTTTCACCCAGCACTTGTCATATTGTTGAGTATAAATGTAAGATACTGTTCATCTACTGCTAAGTGCATGATTAATAGCGGTTCACTAGTTAATTGAATCCCCATATAATGTGACAATTGCCTAGTGTGCAAAAAGAGAGACTAAAATTCAAAATATAAGATTATTGTCATAAATAGACTGCATGATAATCCTCAAAATATTATGTTATATTTGGTACAGGATAATAAATATGAATTCACTGTCCTTTTTGGGTTTGTTTTTAAATATTTGATCAACTAAATAAATGTCTGGAAATTACCAGATGGTGTCATTGACGAATAATATCTGGCTCGAACGCTATTTTAGTATGTTCACTCAAATCTGTTCTGTAGCCTACACTAGAGCAGCGGTCCCCAACCTTTTTTTGCGCCACGGACCGGTTTCATGTAAGAAAATATTTTGTAGTGGGGGGATAAATAGGACGAAATAAAATAATACCACCTGTTTAACTGGTTATTGTGTTAACTGGTTTGCTATTTTCCATTGGGTTGAATGCTGCAATCAAACACACCGCAAAGGTATATAATTGCAACAACAACAACAACAACAACAGAAAACGTGTCTAAGGCACCGCGGCACAGACGATTAGACAACATGCAGTAGCGTTTTTCAGAGCATGGGTTCAGACCTTAATTGCCTCGGCTATAGTTCAATCGATTGTATTTATTTATTGCAGGCTTCATTTATATGCTGCAGTTTACAGACAATCTGCCCGTTCAAACACTGACTCAACACAGTTTGCTGTCTCAAAGTCTCTCGCACTGCAAAAGAAGGAGGTAATCAAAGTAAATGCGTAAGCAGATCTAACCAGTTAACACAATAACCAGTTGAACACCGGCATAAAAACAAATATAAAGTGCACAGAAATACAACTCACCATTATTACGCTGAGTTAGTGGGAGCCCTGAGCATGTGTCTGCAACAAGCCGGTCCAATCTAGGGTTAATGGGACACAATGACACCCGAAGTGTGTTGCTTATGTCCAGTCTACTCTCTTTAAAGAAGTTTGTGTTGCACTCATTTTTTCCAGCTTGTTTTTAGTAGGTCTTTTTGTGGGTTTAATATTAACCGCTCTATCAAAATCAGTCGGAAGTCGCAACGGCTCATTTCAGAATAAACTTGGATTTGCGTAAAAAAATAGTTTCTCGGGGTTCGGGTGTTTTGTTTGATTTTAAAGGTCCCATGTCATGGCAATTTCTACTGATCATAATTATATTGTTCCAAACTCACATTGGTTTCTCATACAGCATCTCTGTATAGTATGTGTATTCACTCTCTGTCCTAAACAGCTTGTTGGAGCTCGCCCCCCCTCCCTGTTCGCCCAGTGGCCGTCTGCGAGACAGCGAGACACAGCGAACCCACACCAGTCCCACCGAGTGTGTGTGTGTGTGTGTGTGTGTGTGTGTGTGTGTGTGTGTGTGTGTGTGTGTGTGTGTGTGTGTGTGTGTGTGTGTGTGTGTGTGTGTGTGTGTGTGTGTGTGTGAGGAAGTCCGCGGATTGGTCCAAACGCAACGGCTCCGCGAACGTAACGGCTCCGCGGATTGGTCCATTTGATTTGATTTGGAGCAATCTGCGGAGCCGTTACGTCACTATACCCGAAATACGTCACTATACCCAACAAAGCGTTCTGGGGCAGCATAGACAGGTATTTTCTGTGTTAGAGTTGTACTCGCTACAGGGTGTACTTTGAGGGTTTTTTACTCTGCAGACATGCAGAAAAAGCGACATAACACACAAGGGGACGGGTAATAACCAGAAAAGCATGACATGGGACCTTTAAATAAACAAAGTATTGGCTTTCAGAATATTAAACTTTTATTTCCAAAATCACACGATAAATACATGTTTGACGCTTGTAGGGAAGATGACTGGCACCTCTCACTCGTCAAAGTCTTGGCTTTCAGAATATTAAACTTGTTTCGGCAAATTCAGATGATAAATACAACTTTGAAGCTTGTAACGGCATAATTACAAGCGGAGAACTGAGTATGTAAAACGCACGGCACTCAATAATGTCACTATGGAAAAAAGACATCGGTGAGTACCTTCCTTGGCGGGTAGACCGGTTGTGACCGCTAGGCTTCCGTCAGACCTAGACCTTCAGTATGCGACGACTGAAAAGCAAACCTAGATCACCAGACCCACTTCTTAACGCTCACACACACAAAAACGTAAACACACATAACGCACAACAAAGGGCCCCTTTTGTAAGGTCTTGTGGCCGACAACAATACGGACAACAC